GTCACAGGCAGCCCACCACTGCCCACCCCCACCCTCATGGCTTTAGACCTGCCTGGCTGCTTCAGACTTGACCCCTCCCTCTCACAGCTGGGAACCTCCATCCTCACCACTAGCATTTGTCCAGAGCCTGTTCACGTCCACCAGCCTTCACTCCAGTCCAAGTCAACACCGCTGTCTTGATATGAATTCTTGAGCTTCATCACCAGTCTCCTTGCATACACGCGGCTCCCCTGCATGCTTTCAAGACAGTCTGAGCCATCCTGAGGGGCATGAATGTCACTGACCATCCTGGGGGACACACGTGTGTCATTGACCATCCTGGGGGACACACGTGTGTCACTGGCCATCCTGGGGGCACACATGTCACTCACCATCCTGGGGGACACATGTGTCACTGTCCTGTCCAAACAGCACCTGCCTCCAAGCCACCTGTCTCCCCATTTCCTTCATGGCAGGCATCACTACCTGACAAACTCTGTGTTTCCTGCTTCACTGTGGTCACTGACCATCACCCACCAGAGGGGCACCTCCTGAGGGCACACAAGTTTGTCTGTTTCCTCACTTATTCCAAAATCCAGAATGCAGCCTGCACTTATAGCCACATTCCATGGATGGAGGAAGGAAGGAAGGAGGGACATGTGCTCAGCACTGTGAACTGAACTTGTTATCACACTTCCAGGAGAAAGCACCAGTACCATACTCAATGCACATCCAGAGATTCTGGGAAAGGGGGGCATCCCCTCGTGAGGACCAGGAAATGGACCCACCGCAGGAATTCACGTAAAAACCCTCCCAGGCCTCTCAGCTTCTGATTCCCACGCAAAGACCTTGAAAGTCACTGCTCCATCTTCACAAGAAGTGACAAGCCAACAAACTGAAGGATGGTGGGACCCTTGGGTCCCCGGTGGGGTCACAGCGATCACCCTCCCAGAGCAGGGTCACAGGAGTGGACCCAGCCATGGACCCGGGGTAGGACCCAGACAGCAGTGAGAGGACCGTGGGGTGGGTCTCAGGGTTCCGTCTTCACGGGAACCTGGCCACGGGCCCCACCAAGTGGTAGGGTTTACCTCTATGAGCCCAACCGGTTCCCACGGTCAAAACCAGAGACAAGTCCCCCCAGGCTTTGGGCAGGGGGAGGAGAGAGCTCTGAAGAACACCAGAGCAGTCTTCTTCTTAACAAGGCCTGGCCACAGGGAAAACTAGCTAACCAGTGTCTAACCAGCTGGGGTTTATCAGAGCCGAATGGACTGGGGGAGGGGAAAGACCCAAGTCCAGCCAGCTCCAGCCAGCCTGACCCAGAGGGGTCAGGGGAAATAAATCCAGATGGAAGGAAGGAATAAAACTGCCTGGTCCACACTTGACGTGATTGTCTATGTGGAAAATAAAAGTGAATAAACTTAAAAAGCTATATATATTTATAGTTGTATATATATATACAAAATCTCCTTCCAACACAGGCTAAACTTGCATACAAAGGTCAATCTTCTGGATTCTTCTCTTTTTTCTTCCTTAACATACTCATCTCTAAGATAAAAATGCCAACTCTGAGATGCAAACATAAAGGGTGTCTGGGCACCCAGCAAGAATTTGGGAATAAAGTACTCCCATATAGACTCTGTGGCTCGGAAAGAAATTTGATCTGATTCCTTTAAAAATATAAAAATCATAAAACTGATCTACATGTCTAGAAACTGCAGACAGAACCTTGAATCAATCGAACCCCCAGATGAACGCTGTAAAGTGACCAGTGTGTCCTGAGGACAGGCGTTCGTGTCCTGTACGGTCTGTCCCACCCTCACTCATATCCACCCGCAGCTTCAGGAACCGTACGGCCCTCTCCTCCCCTGGGCTGACAGCAAGGTCCTCACTGACGCTCAGTCTATCCTTGGGCCCCTCAGTCCTTTACCAAACCGCTCAGATTCCCTACAGCCTTTCGTTCTCTGCAAATGGTCCAAGGTCTCAGGCTGATGGAGCTGGTGTCAGCACCTGTCACACGACGTAAAGAAAGCTGTTTCTGCTCCTCTCACATCTTTTTCACATTCTATTTTCCTCTTCTCCTCCCCTGCCTGTGTTTACACCAAGCACCACTTTTCATTCGTATCACCTTTTGATTTTCCTAAATATTGGTGGAAATAGGACAATAAGATGGTAGAAACTTAGTTAAGAGGTAGATAAGTGCCATAATTACATTGAAATTCTGGAAGTAAAATCCCATTTTAGCAAGTTTAGTGTTAACAAGTCATCCGATTAGAGATAAAAGGATGACCTGGGCTATGGGACATCACATAAGAATGCCACATATAAGGGCTGGTTGTATCATCTGGACTGGACCCTTTAAAGAAGCACACGGTGGGCTTCTCTTAAACAGAAGGAAGTTAGGAGACAAGACAAGGGGGTATTTCAACTCCATCACCTCGAGTCTCCAGACTACATATCTGTATGTCGCTAGTTCATACCATTTCCAGCGTGAATGGCTGGGGGTAGGGGTCAGGCAGCTGTGAAATCCGGGTTCCCCCTCCCCCCATGGAACTGAGAAGGCCTTCCTCAGCCCTTTCTTCCCAAGAAATCCAGACAGTTTGACCCACTTCATTCTGCTTATTTGACTCACACCCTCAAGAGAATGTAGAATTTCATGATTTTCAGATGAGTAAACGAAACAGTAATTTTTCAAAAGATTCAGACAATTAATCCAAGATTCAACTTCCAGTATTTCTGGTTGTAGAGAAAACTCTGCTTCCCTTGAGGTCTGTCTCTTATTCAGATTCCCCCTCATGTACCCTGAGAACCCCTTGTTATGAGTAAAGGAAAACAGCAAGCTGTTACTAGAGGTACAAACATATTTGCATTTATTCGCTGTCATGCTATAAAACACATAGCCAATAGCATTCTTCAATGCTGCATACCTTTAAGAAGGCAGTGATGAGACGATATCCTGTAAAAACACCTTTTAAAACCAGATCCTGGATGGCAAGTCTGCGGGACCGAGGACAAATGCACAGCAGATTGGGGCACATTACTGGCCCAGCCATGTGGCTGGGCACTGGCCAGGCTACACCTGTGACTCTGGAGAGGGTGGGGTGTTTTCCCAGAGTGGGCTTTGATGGGGCCACTGCCCCTGCCTTCCTGGCCACTCCTCTGCAGAGTCTGGAGAAGGCAAAGTCAAATCCACTATGTTTCTGCAGCCTCTTTCCACTCACAACTTCTGTCTCCTAATTTTCCCTGACATGCACCCTCCCCAACTTGCAGTAAATGCATGACTCTGCCTGACCCCTGTCCTTCCAGCAACGTGGAGTGGTCAGGGGACCAGTGAGCCCTCAGAGTAAGGTCAGGACATCCCACTAGTGTCCCCACAGAATCTGATGGCTCCTTCAGTGCAGCGGGCTCAGGAGAGAAATGGGCACATGCCCCTGCGAGGGGTTATCTTGCCAGAACTGTCCAGCTGCCCCTCCTTCTTTGGAAAACTGACCTCCTTCTGCCTGCAGCATCTGTTAGACCCTTTGGAGAGCGAAGCCCAAAGCTGGAGCTCTCCCTGCCCCATGCTGTGTCCAGGTTGTACCACTGGAGAACACAGACTCCAGATGTCAAAGACAGAACACACCTGTGGCAGATTGATGTGTGCGTCCCAATCCCATCCCTTCCTGTAACCCCCTTCTTCTCCTGACCCCAGGACCAGCTCTCCGCCCTCCTCACCCTGTCTCCCCCACTGTCCTGCACTGTTCCTGATGCTTCAACAAGGGACGCAGAGCGGCCAGGACCATTTCCTCCCAGGGGGGTTGTGGGGGACATGCACTGAAGCAGACAGAACTCGAGGGCAAGGGAGGAGCCCCAGCCTGGGACCCTGACATCGGGGGGTGAGTGGTGTCAGCATCTGGAAAGGACGTCTTTCCAGTAACCCCCACCAGTCTTCTGGCCCAGCCTTAGTGCAGAGATGCAGTCAGTCCCCCAAGGTGGCGCTCACTACAGATTATAAGCCCCAACAAATGCCGGGACTCGCATGGAGACCAACTGCACCCCAGAGTCAGGGGTTCATGGCCCCAAAGGGCTCCAGGGGTGCAGCAGGGGCACCACTCAGGCTGTGCACCCCAAGGTCCTGACGTGGCTCCACCCCCAGCGCTAGGTAGGACCTGCCCACCCGGGCCAGGTGGCGCCCCCTCCCCAGAGAGGGCCCAGCGCCCCCAGCCTCATGCAGCCTCCTGGCCCCCGGGCAGGTGTGGACCCGGCCCAGGTGCTCACCTGAGCTCCAGCCCAGCAGGCTGATCCGGCCCCTCCCACCCCCACCCCCGCCCTGCGCTCAGTGCTCACCCTGGCCGCAGGCCGCCGTCCAGGCCGCCCTTCCCACACACTTCTGCTGTCATTCTTTGCGATAACTCAATCTTCTGAGCTGCCCCTTGACATTTTGAAAATCACACCAAGAAGCCCTAAACTATTAAAAGTGAATATTGTTCATGGTCCAAGCCCTTTTCTTTAAAAACAGATCAATAACCTAAAACAACAAAGATGCACTTTGGCCCCACTGGCCTTCATGGGCCAGGACACTGGGTACCTGTGGTCAGCGTTGGGAGGAAGCCTGTGTGTCCCCCACCAACTGAGGTCCGGCGCGTGCTCATCACCCCACCCCACTGGGGTCCCACCCACCTTGCCCATACCCCCCACTGGGGTCCCACCCACCTTGCCCATCCCCCCCCCCCACTGGGGTCCCATCCACCTGCCCATCCTCCCCACTGGGGTTTCACCCATCTGCCCATCCTTCCACCCCCACCCCCCACACTGGGATCCTGCCCACCTGCCCATGTCTATATTCCTTCTCCATCTGCCTGGCCACCTGCTGTGAGTCCCTGACCCTTCCTGCAGGCCTGCCCACCTGTTGCTCCTGACTGTCCCTTCTGTTTTCTGCTCTCCCCATGGGTCACGGCCGGATTATTTCCGGGGCTGACTCATCGGCCCGGCTGTCTGGCAGCCATCCGCCCTGGCCAGGCTCCACTGGGGAGCGGCTCCCAGGCATGGACTCAGCCGCCTGGCCCGGCCCGGCCCGAAGCCCTCAGTGTGCTTGTGACCAGGCTGCCTGCGTCCAAAGCATTGGCCACCTGCTTCAGGCCAGGGATCCCGGGTCAGCTGTTACCACACCTGCTCAGAATCTGTGCGTTCCAGCAGAATTCCCACCCTCTGTCACAGCCTGTAGTCCCTCGGCTGTGGCTCAGACCCAAGTTCACAGCCCCGTGCTGTTCCATGCTGCCATGCTCTGTGAGAGTGAGACAAGATGCCCAGCACCCAGACATTCAGGACATAAGCCCACCCCTGTGCATCCTCAGATGGGCTGGGTCTCCCGGTCACTCAGGGCGCGGGTGTGTGTTCAACTGGTGGGTGGAGAAGGGGGTCTGATGATCCGAAGAGAGGAAGGGGCGGCAGATGCAGAGGGCAGCAGTGAAGGGAAGGAAGGGAAGGGCTAGAGGTGGTGGTAGGACAGATTTAGTTTTTTACTTTTTCCACTTTTACTGAGGAATCACTGATGTGCCACGCCGTGTGAGTTTGTACAACATGATGGCTTGGCTTACATACATTGTGAAATGATCATCACAGTGAGTTTAGTGAGCATCCATCATCTCACACAGGCACACAGAAAAGAAAAAGAATATATTTTTCCTTGAGATGAGAGCTCAGGGTCTACTTTCTTAACAACTCTCCTGTATACCACTGGAGAGCATAACATTGCACAAGACTTTCCTTCTCTCCACATCTTCACCAACACTTGTTATCTCTTGTCCTTTTGATGATAACCACCCTGACAGGTGTGAGGCGGTACCTCACTGTGGTCTTGATGTGCATTTCCCTGACGGCTAGTGATGCCGAGCATCTTTGCGGTACCTGCAGGCGCCTGTGTATCTTCTTTGGGAAAGTGTCTATTCAGATCCTCTGCTCATTTTTAAACTGAATTATTTGGTCTGTTGCTATTTAGATGTATGAGTTCTTCACATATTTTAAATATTAACACTTATCAGATACATGGTTTGCAAATATTTTCCCCATTTCACAGGCTTTTTTACTTTGTGGTTTTCCTTGCTGTGCAGAAGTTTGTTTGTTTGGTTTCTTTTTTCAGTCCCACTTGTCTATTTTTTATTTCATTGCTTATGATTTACAGGGGATTTCCAAGAAAACATTACAAGACCCAATGTCAGGGAGATTTTTTTTCCTATGTTTTCTTCTGAGTTTCATGCTGTCAGGTCATAGATTTAAGTCTTTAATCCATTTTGCGTTAATTTTTGTGTAAGATGGAGTCATTCTTCTACATGTAAATATCCAATTTTCCCAGTACTGCTTATGAGATTCCCTGGTGGCTCAGTCGGTAAAGAATCTGCCTGCAATGTGGGAGACCTGGGTTTGATCCTCGGGTTGGGAAGATCCCCTGGAGGAGGACATGGCAACACACTCCAGCATTCTAGCCTGGAGAAACCCCATGGACAGAGGAGCCTGGCGGGCTAACAGTCCATGGGGTCACAAAGAGTGGGACACGACTGAAGCGACCAAGCACACTGTTTATGGAAGAAACCGCCTTTTCTCTTTTCAGTATTCTTGATGCCTTTTTCAGATATTAATTGTCTATACATGCTTGGGTTTAGTTCTGGGCTCTCGATTCTGTCCCAGGAGTGTTTTAAAGTAAATTCAGGAAATTCTGTGTTTCCAACAAAATTTAGAACAGTAAAGTAAGAAAACTTTTAATTAGCTAATATAATGATGCTGAATGATACTTCCATATGGCAATTAAAAATATTCAGTCAGTAACTATACTCTTTGGTCTCTTCCAATAAAGTGTAAACATATAATTTCATCTTATTTCCATGCTTCCCTGAAGGCCCCTGCTTGTGGGGGAACAGATGACTCACAATAGTCCCCACGTGTGTTTGATGCTCTCAGGTCCCCTTCTCTGTAACCAGGCCCAGACGCAGTGTCACAGCATCACAGGACGGCAGTTCCCAGCAGGTGACTGAGCAGAAATTCTTAGGGGTGAAGCACCTGCAAGGGCAGTTCACATCTGCACTGAAACCAGAGTTGCCCCATTGCCTCCCTTTTTATGGGCCCACAAAAGCCAGATTTAATCAGTCACAAGAACAAAATGAATAGGATGGTTTTATCACCCCATGCAGGGAGCACTGACACTCACCCACCGTGATGGTATCACCCGCCCCAGTCACACATGGACACAGCTGACCCCGGACTCCATCGTCACGTCTGTGCGTGGGCAGGAGGTACCCGGTCAGGATGAGGGGGTGGAGAGACGAAAGAATGCTTTCGAACGTAAGCAGCAGTCACAGCTGGAAAAGTCATTGAAATATAATATCAGCCCCCAACTGGTCATAAGTTATTTTCTGAGACTTATGAATGGTTAAAGAAATGGGATCCACCTTCGGGAAATAATGTTTCTTTATGTCTCATCCTCTCCCGTTTTTCCCCAAAGATGGAACCAATGTGGGATGTTGTAAATCACAGTGTGGCCCTTGAGCGGCTGTGCAGCCCCCCTGCCCATCGAGCCGAGGGTGCAGATGGCGTGCCCAGGAGTGGGGGCTTCAGCAAGGATGTGGGAAGGGGGCCCACCGGGTGCAAGGTCAGTACGTGAGACCTAGCACAGGTCTGGCTTGGGGTGGAGAGCTTCCCACTTCCTCCAAGGCAACCTGAAGCTCCCTACCCCGCTCTCTCCCAGCCCCACTGCAGCCAGAGCCCCATCCCCACCCCAGGCTGCCGGCAGCCCATGAAGTCAACTGCCCCATGGGGACAGATGAAGAATTTCACAGAGTAGCTTGTGAAGACCCCATCCGAGACGAGCCTGGAAACAAGAGCATACTGAAGCCAGAGAGGCTGACAAGGCCACCAGACACGGCTGGGCAGGGCTCTGCACACCCCATGTTGTCTACATGGGACGTCATACAGTAGAATGGAGGGCAATGGGTGTATATGGCCTTGGCCTCGCTGAAGATTTGAGGCTTTAAAAGCTGAAGATCTCATACTATTCATGTTGTATCACCTTTCTTTTCTTTTTTATTTTAAAAAGGTGTTTTTTTAATGTGGAGCATTCTTCTAGGTCAATTTTCAAAATTATTGTATTCATTTTTGACTGTGCTGGGTCTTCGTTGCTGCACAGATTTTCTCCAGTTGCAGCAAGCAGGGGTTATGCTCTAGCTTCAAAGCCCAAGCTTCTTACTGCAGTGGCTTCTCTTGCTGTGGAGCATGGGCTCTAGGATGCATGGGGTTCGGTAGTTGCGGCTCCTGGGCCTAGCTGCTCTGGAGCATGTGGAATCTTCCCGGTCCAGGAATCTAACCCCCATCCCTTGCACTATAGCTGGGCACTCTCCTCTCACTCAGCCCTTCCAAAGGGAGGACCACTAGTCAGGGCTTTTCCAGGAGCTGTCTCTACAGGAGAAGTTCCTCCTACAACCTGGATGAAGAAGTGGGAATAAGATACCACATTTGCTGCACTCCCTCAGAATGGAGGTAAAGGGGCCTGTACACCACACTCTCGCCAGAGCTACCTACCTCATCCCTGTCTGGGCACAAGGGACCTGTGGCCCTCGCCACTTTCTCCTCTTCACCACAAACAGGAAGTTTAAATCCACCCCAGAGTGAATGTGTGTTGTTACACCCTGAGAAATCATACTCAGCTATAAAGCAGAGGGTGTCAGTCCTCAGGTCCACCCCTCCCTCCCCACCGATGGCCTGATGGATGTTCCCAAACACCCATGAGTCTATCTCCACTTGGGCAAGTTCGCAAAGAGTGACAGACGGCTCGACATGCCCGCACGAGAGGACACGGGAAACCGCCTGAGTGGAAGCACATTTTCCTTTTTAATAGTCTATAAAGTGGAAGTATTACATGTCTTGAGAAAATATGGTATTAAACCAGAGTAATGCAGTAGAAAGTTCGTCTCTAAACTGCTTGGCCAATCCACTTTACTGTCCCCTGGCCGATCATTCTGTCTCCAATAAGACAGCAATTAAATGCAAGGTGAGGCCAGAATGGTCAAGAGTCTATAAACATACTGGGAATGAAAATTCAAGCCTATAGAAACTGGAGTAAAATCAGGAAAACGTGGTGAAAAATCAAGGTCAGTAATGTCAAAAGAAAAGTATAAAACAGGGGGGTTTGCTGCCAGTTGCCTGGTTAGAAACAGGTAAGAGAAGGACCAGTTTTTGTGCCTCAACACGGTGATGATGCTGGTGACTAGGGCTGCCAGGCCCCTCAGAGCTCACAGCTGTCCTGTCCACATTCTCTGCACATCACTGTCACATCCAGGGTCAGGTGCCTGCACAAGGTCACGCAGGATGGCGGGAGGCAGTCCTTGAGGTCAACACCAGTTCTGTGCTGTCCTGCAGGTTACGGTCATCTTTCCCCTCAAAAGATGAAACACTCCTTCCAGTTTTGTTTCTCCTCATTTTTTAAAAATGATAACAAGTGTCAATAATGAGTACAATATACATTTCCATTTGCATCATCTTCAATTTCTTTCACCCCTGTCTATCTCTCCAAGTATGAGAGATACTATCTTTACCTCCTTATTTTGATTTATTCCTGGGTATTTTGTTCTCATTGATGAAACTTTAAATGGGATTGTTTTCTTAATTTCTCTTTCTGATAGTTCGTTAGTGTGCAATGTATTGCTGTTGTTATTTAGTCGCTAAGTCGTGCCTGACTCTTTGTGACCCCATGGACTGTAGCCCACCAGGCTCTTCTGTCCATGGGATTTCACAGGCAAGAATACTGGAGTGGGCTGCCATCTCCTTACCTGGGGATCTTCCCAACACAGTGATAGAACCCATGTCTCCTGCCTTGACAAGTGGATTCTTCACCATCTGAGCCACCAGGGAAGGACTTGTCTTTTTCAGATTCTACATATAAGTGATATCACACAGTATCTTTCTTCCTCTGTTGGGCTGATTTCATTGAGTATAACGTCCTCAAGGTCCTTCCTTTCATGTTGCTGCAAATGGCGGGACTTCCTTCTTTCCCACAGCTCATGTTCTATTGTACGTACACCACGCCTTCTTTATCCATCCATCCATTTGCTGCCCTTGGGTTGTTTCCACATCTTGCCTATTGTGAATAAAGCTGAAATGAACATGAGAACACAAATGCCTCTTTGAAACAGCATTTTCATTTCCTTTGGGTTTATACCAACAAGTGAGATTTCTGGGTCTTAAGGTAGTTCTATTTTTAAATTTTTGAAGAACCTCCAGACTGTTTTCCATAGTGGTTGCGCCAC